AAGTCTTGAGGTTAGTGGCAATGGGGCTACAGCAACAAAAAGAAAAAAAAGAGATAAAGAAAGATAGAAATGAAGGAAAAAAGGATGAAACATAGATAGGTAGATAAAGATAGATGGGTAGAGATAGCTAGATAGAGACAGATAGATATAGATAGATAGAGATAGATGGATAGAGTTAGGGATAGATAGAGAGAGAGAGAATGAGAGAAAGAAAGAAAGAGGGAGAGAGAGAGAAAGAAAAGAAAAAAGAAAAGAAATAAAGAGAAAAAGAAAGAAAAGAAAAAAGAAAGAAAGAAAAAAGAAAGAGAGAGAGAAAGAAAGAAAAAAAGAAAGAAAGGAAGAAAGAGGGAGAGAAAGAAAGAATAAGAATAATGAAATGAAAACGATTTGGGTTTTATTATTGTGTGAGAGAGTAGATGACAATATATATATATGTGTGTGTGTGTGTGTGTGTGTGTGTGTGTGTGTGTGTGTGTGTGTGTACTCATACATCCTCTGCGCCTTGTGAAGTAGAGGATCTATGTTAATTCTCCACACAATCCAAACTTCCTCCTCATCTAAAGCACATTAGTGTTTTTTTCTGCCCATCTCTCTCTCCTTCACAATCGTTTATACATACTTCCTGGCGCAGTTCCTTCTGGTTCTCCTCCATTTCCTCCATTTTATTTCACTTTCCAGCCTCGTTATAACTTTCATGGCGGATGAGAAGCAGCCTCCCTGGCACGGCTACCTGTATGCTGTGTCTCTGTTCCTCTCCTGCATCGTCTCGACTCTCCTCAGGAACAAATTCTACTTCAAGATCACCGTCATCTCAGTTCGGATTCGGTCCGTCATCATGTCAGTGGTGTACAGGAAGGTCAGTTGGGGAAGGTCGAGTGGTAAAGAATGCATACATACGTGCACATGTACACAGGGGAACCACAGACACATTCATGCTGAATTTAGTTAGTTTTTTAAAAATATGTTCTATCAGTATTTTCCTAGTTTTTTATCGGTCTTTCCCCTCTTATCTTTCCCTTCCTACTTCCGCGGCCCCGACGCCCAGGCCCTCAGTCTCTCCGGGGCGGCGAGACGGGACTCCACCCTGGGCGAGATCGTGAACCTGATGGCCGTGGACGCGCAGTGCATCGGCGACACCGTCATCCTGCTCTGGAGCCTCTTCGGGGCGCCCGTCATCTTCTTCATTACCATGGTCTTCTTGTGGAGTGAACTTGGTAAGATTTCTCTGGGTCGGAGTGTATGAAATTTGTTTATATGGTATACATGCACAAGCTACGCACATACATATGCGTGGGCACGCACACACACACACACACACACGCGCGCGCGCGCGCGCGCGCGCCCACATTTCTTGTGCCACCATCATGACAACAATAATAAAATTTCCAACAATAATTATAAAAAAAAGAATTACAACATCAAATAGCCTATTGTCCCCATTACTAACACGAATAAGGTCATCGCCCTCCCTCGTGCAGGCGTGAGTGTGCTGGCCGGGGTTGCTGTCCTGTTCCTGATCGTTCCTCTGAACAGCTACTTGTCCAACAGAATGAAGAGTTTGCTGTTCGCTGCACTCAAGTTCCGCGATCAGAGAGTCAAGATGGTCAGCGAGATCATCAGCGGGATAAAGGTGAGTCTCTGTGACGTGTTCTGTGATCAGTCTCAGGAAAGAAAACAATGGCAACACTTTCCGAATTCTGGAGAACTCCGATTCCTTAGTCTCTTTTGAGAAGAAATAAATAAAATAGTGTTGATGACGGCAAATTTCAATAAAGAATATAAAGAAAATATTGTTATGAATGCTCAAATTGTAAAATAGTGCCAGCTAATTAGAATAAATAAGGAGACTAGCCAGTTTACTCTAGAATCTGGAGTGAGTTTCCACTTGTATCATTTCTGAAATTGGAAATTGGGTCACAGAGGGTTAGCATGGGGGTTGCAAAACCTTCAGGGAAAATAATAGCTTCACGTCTGATAGTGTTCATATTAAGAATATGCTATGAAACCCTGCCTTCAAGTTTTGTATTATATTTAGGTGAATGAAGGTTGTACAGACTATGGACTATTTCTTTCTCTTAATCCAAAATTATATTATAAATAGAATGGCTGAAGTTAGGGTGGAGGGGTTGCAGATATGTAGGAGGTTTGAGAAAGGCGTCGCAAAAGTAAAAAGGGAGGGAACCACAGCCCTGGTGCATTTGAAATCTAAGGCTGAGTTAAGAGAAAAAAAGGTTTGCGCTAGCCCTTGCGTGGGAGTTCGGGGCCCAAAACCGAGTCATCAGCTAAGAGAGATGGTAACGTTGATACTAAGAGGACATGATACAAGGAAGAGGGCATAACTGTAATAATGAATATGTCTCTGATTATGTGTGTGTGAATGCATGCAAGTATATGTCCTTATATAAGAGGTGCTAATGTAGGTGTGCATAATATGTCCTTATATAAGAGGTGCTAATGTAGGTGTGCATAATATGTCCTTATATAAGAGGTGCTAATGTAAGTGTGCATAACACATATACTTGCCTACATAATCCCTCATCCTCTAATCATCGCCTCCCGCAATCACAGGTCCTGAAGCTCTATGCCTGGGAAGGGTCTTTTGCCAGCAAGGTGCAAGAAGTGAGGAATGAAGAAATTAGACTCCTGAAGAAAGTGGCTGTCCTCAAGGCTTTCAATTCTTTCATTTTTAACAGCTCTCCTTGCATGGTAAGTTATGAAAGCTTATTTTTTGTAGTTATATCTATTATATACTATTTAGAAAGATTTTAATTTTTATTGATTATTCCATGTCACAGGATTATTTTCTAGTTGTAACTGATTGATATAAGTTATATTAACTTAGTATTCCCAGATATACCACAAGCAAATGTTAGTACATGTTTATAACAATACTGAGAATAAGTACACATAAGCAAGATGATATCTCTAGGTCTCTTAAACTTCATCGATGATTATAGTAACTGTTAATTACAAATGCCATTTTTTCTTAGGTTGCCCTAGCTTCATTCACAACCTATCTGTTAGCTTCCCCAGACAACGTACTAGATGCCAAAAAAGCTTTCGTTTCCATCTCACTCTTCGATATCATGAGACTACCCATTGTCATGCTGCCAACTAGCATCTCACAGGTTATTCAGGTAAGATACTTTCAATATCCTTATTTTCGTTTTTGTATGTTCCCTAATCTCTCCTGTGGTATTTACTTCTATCCATTCTTGAAACACAACTCTTTTCTTTATTTTATGTTGGCACTTTCCCTATTACTTATTGAGGTTGCATGTAATGTACATTATATACATTATATAACAAGTCAGTTCTATTTCATAGAATGAAAAGGTATTGGTCTCTCCTAATGACAAGGAATTTTGGACATGGAACACTGATAGCTCTAGTTGTTGAGTTAGCATGTCTTTTGTAAAAAGTATATGAATAACAAGTCAATCTTTCCTGGTGAAAAGGCAATGGTAGCCTTGAAACGGGTTCAAAACTTCATTTCTGCCGAAGAAGTGGACCCGAAAGCAGTGTCCTGTGACCGATCCGAGGGCAAGTATTATATTTAATTAATTTCTTTATTTTCTTTATATTTTTTGTTTTGTTTTAATTTTCTAGAATCACCCTGTTTCATTGTTGTATTGGTTATGAAATTATTAGATATGAATTGATTCATGAATTTAATCTGATCAGGTATTCTCCACTGATGCTCAGTTTTCTTTGAACAGTATCAATCCATTATGTATATAAATACCTCTTAAAGAAACCAATTGATTTTTTTTACATCTATCTTCCTATCTATACGTGTATAAGAATCAGATCACAGGGAGATGGATTATCTTGTTTTGTTATATCTAAATAGTAAGATATTTATAGTTTAGACATGCTTTTCTCCTTTAATGATACTGAGCACATAAACAGTTAAATTATCTTCCCTTTGAAGATGCATTTCTGGCAGAACAAGAAGAAATAATTCCTCTCTCCCAGATAGGTAAGAAAAACTATAACTTATACTGGTACCTTTCAGCTGCTGCTGTGATCATACGCGGAGGTCAGTTCAGCTGGGAAGGTGGTGAGCATCAACTGACCTGGAGGCTGGAGGACATTAACCTAGAGATTGGCCACAAGAAACTGGTGGCAGTGGTGGGATCCGTGGGTGCGGGCAAGAGTTCCCTCATCTCTGCACTTTTGGGGGAGATGAAGAAGGTCGAGGGCAAGGTTGTAGTTAATGTAAGTCTTGAGTAATGCTGATAGGGTTTATCATTTAGATTCTACAAAAAATGTATTATCAGATTGGTAACCTCTATATGATAATTTTAATGAATTTCCTTTCAAGTAATATGCCTGATTGCCTGTTATGCCAACAGGGCCGCATGGCGTATGTGTCCCAACAGGCATGGCTCCAGAATGCTACCCTGAGAGAGAACATCGTGTGGGGTCAGCCGTTCGATGAAACAAGGTACCAGAAAGTGGTGAAAGCCTGTGCTCTTCAGCCTGACCTGGACATGTTGCCAGGAGGTGACATGACAGAGATAGGAGAAAAGGTAGCTGGTCATTCCTTTTCTCTCTCTCTCTCTCTCTCTCTCTCTCTCTCTATATATATATATATATATATATATATATATATATATATATATCATACACAGACACGCACGATAGGATATATGTAACATATACATATTACTTTCTTTATCTGTAACTTCCCCACAGAGTTGCCTGAACACGCAGACATTACAAATCTATAAACAGGATAGCAAAGTCCCTCCAGGCTTATCCAGCATAGCAGAAAACAGTAACGAACACAGTTAAACAGTTAACAAAACCTTAACAAACTGAAAAAAATGGTATTAGAGGCTGGACACTAATTCTCCATTACACGACACAGGGCATCAACCTCAGCGGCGGTCAGAAGCAGCGTGTGTCTCTCGCCCGAGCCGTCTACAGCGACACTGACATCGTACTGCTCGACGACCCCCTCAGTGCCGTCGACGCGCACGTTGGACGCTTCATTTTCGACAACGTCATTGGGCCTCAGGGCATTCTGCGAGGAAAGGTACGCCTGTTGGTGTGGGATAAGGTGTGGGAATGGTGTAGGATATAGAATTGAAATGGTAAAGGATAAAGATTTGTGAATTGAATGGATGTTATATGGGAATATGTAGGTAAGACGATACAGGTACCGACCGAAAAAAACGTAATGAATCTCACTCTATATTGAATTCCAAACAAATTTCCCCCCCCCCCAAAAAAAAAAAAAAAATCCCATATCTATCTTATTCGGCCTTTCACAACCCCCCCCCCCCCCCCCAAAAAAAAAAAAAAAAAAAAAAAATAATAATAATAAAAAATAAATCAATCCCATATCTCTCTTATTCGGCCTTTCACAAATCCCCCCCACCAAAAAAAAAAAAAAATCCCATATCTCTTATTCGGCCTTTCACAAATCCCCCCCCCCCAAAAAAAAAAAATATATATATCCCAGCTCTCTCTTATTCGACCTTTCGCCTGACCTCACTTGACCCTATATCACCAGACGCGCCTCCTGGTAACCCATTCCGTGACCTTTCTGCCGAGCGTGGATGAAGTGGTAGTGATGATGGATGGCCGCGTGGTGGAAAAAGGATCCTATCTTGACCTCGTGGCCAAACAGGGCGACTTCGCTAACTTCGTCCTTCAGCACATCAGTGATGCTAACGATGAAGAGGGAGAGGAAGGTGAGAGAGGAGAGAGGAGAGAGTGAGAGAGAGAAAAAAAAGAATCGTGGAAAGGAAAGAGGATGTTTCAATAGTTCAAGAGACTGTGCGATTGGAAATAGATGAGAAATAATGGGAAATGAGATGTTACAAAGGGGATACTTTTATTATTTATAATTGTCCTTTTTTCGAATATCTTACTTTTGTATTGATGTGCTTCCTTCTCAGATATAATTGCCAATAGTTTTCTTCTTTTTCACATCCTTTTTTTTTGTGTTAGTGGGCATCTTAAAAGACCATTATTTTTATTTTTTTCACCATTATATGTAGTTTCTTTCTACCTTTTATTTATGTTTTACTGCCTTTGTTCTTTTCATCTATGCAGAGCTAGAGGAGCTTCGAGAACAGCTGGAGGAGGTGCCAGGCGCTAAGTCCCTCCTTCGCCAGCTGTCTCTCAGGTCCAGCGGAACTTCGGTCAGCAACCCTGGCAGGTGAGGTTTCTTTGAAAACAACTGCAGTTCCCGTTTAAATTATGCGTTTGAAATGGCTGAATTGCTCGGACAAACTTCATACAGTACCTGATTTTCAAGACACACACACATAAACACGCTAACACACGCAGACGCAGACGCACACACACGCGCACGCGCACGCACAAGCACACACACACACGCACACACACACACGCACGCACACACACACACGCACACACACACGCACACACACACGCACACACACACACACACACACACACACACACACACACACACACACACACACACACACACACACACACAAACCCATTTATTATTAAATACGTTTCCCCTTTGTAGGTTCATCTCTAATTCTCATTAGAATTAGGGTAGTAATTACTCTCTTTTAATTACTGTCTTTTCTAGTTTTAGATTTATCATAGAGAACCCGCCATCTTATCAACTTCACACTTAACACTGCATCATGTTGGGTCCTGAGTTTTATACTTGCATTTAACTCGTCTCCATATATACTCCAGTTCTTGACGTAATCGAAATACAGACATAATACAAAGACACAGCCACTGTTGTCTGTTTTTTTAACGGTTCATTATTGTGTTTATCTAGTTTAGTCTTGACCTTCTCAAACACAATGTAGAAGCTGTATTGCGAATCTTGTTCCGGTCGTGAAATCGTTGAAAAACTTGAATAAACACAGTTTCGTTTTTTTATTCTATTATTTGATTCCCCTTTCCCTAAATCATTCCCTCCCCCCTTCCCCCCCTCCAGCACAGCCCCTACCGGCATCCCCCACAAGAGAATCCGCAGCGTGAGCGAGTCCCAGTCCCGCCACCAAAACCTCGTCCTCGGGTCCAGTTCCTCCTCCTTGAACGTTCGAGGACGAGACATCGCTGACGTCATTTCGGACATAAGTGTATACAGTCACATATTCGACGAGGAGGTAAAGGCTTCGAAGAATGCCCTGCACGAGAGTAGGACTTCGTTGCACAGCAGCAAGAGCCGGAGGAAGAGTGTGGAGATGGAGGAGCTGCCGAGCAAGACTGACGGAGGCGAAGGGACGGTCAAGGGGCAGAAGCTGGTGATCGAGGAGACTTCGGAGACGGGGAAGGTGAGACATAGGGGGGGGAGGTGAGACATGGTGGGGGGGGGAGGGTGAGACATGGTGGGGGGGGAGGTGAGACATGGTGGGGGGGGGAGGTGAGACATGGTGGGGGGGGGAGGTGAGACATGGTGGGGGGGGGAGGTGAGACATGGTGGGGGGGGAGGTGAGACATGGTGGGGGGGGGAGGTGTGAGACATGGTGGGGGGGGAGGTGAGACATGGTGGGGGGGGAGGTGAGACATGGTGGGGGGGGAGGTGAGACATGGTGGGGGGGGAGGTGAGACATGGTGGGGGGGGAGGTGAGACATGGTGGGGGGGGAGGTGAGACATGGTGGGGGGGGAGGTGAGACATGGTGGGGGGGGAGGTGAGACATGGTGGGGGGGGAGGTGAGACATGGTGGGGGGGGAGGTGAGACATGGTGGGGGGGGAGGTGAGACATGGTGGGGGGGGAGGTGAGACATGGTGGGGGGGGAGGTGAGACATGGTGGGGGGGGAGGTGAGACATGGTGGGGGGGGAGGTGAGACATGGTGGGGGGGGAGGTGAGACATGGTGGGGGGGGAGGTGAGACATGGTGGGGGGGGAGGTGAGACATGGTGGGGGGGGAGGTGAGACATGGTGGGGGGGGAGGTGAGACATGGTGGGGGGGGAGGTGAGACATGGTGGGGGGGGAGGTGAGACATGGTGGGGGGGGAGGTGAGACATGGTGGGGGGGGAGGTGAGACATGGTGGGGGGGGAGGTGAGACATGGTGGGGGGGGAGGTGAGACATGGTGGGGGGGGAGGTGAGACATGGTGGGGGGGGAGGTGAGACATGGTGGGGGGGGAGGTGAGACATGGTGGGGGGGGAGGTGAGACATGGTGGGGGGGGAGGTGAGACATGGTGGGGGGGGAGGTGAGACATGGTGGGGGGGGAGGTGAGACATGGTGGGGGGGGAGGTGAGACATGGTGGGGGGGGAGGTGAGACATGGTGGGGGGGGAGGTGAGACATGGTGGGGGGGGAGGTGAGACATGGTGGGGGGGGAGGTGAGACATGGTGGGGGGGGAGGTGAGACATGGTGGGGGGGGAGGTGAGACATGGTGGGGGGGGAGGTGAGACATGGTGGGGGGGGGGAGGTGAGACATGGTGGGGGGGGAGGTGAGACATGGTGGGGGGGGAGGTGAGACATGGTGGGGGGGGAGGTGAGACATGGTGGGGGGGGAGGTGAGACATGGTGGGGGGGGAGGTGAGACATGGTGGGGGGGGAGGTGAGACATGGTGGGGGGGGAGGTGAGACATGGTGGGGGGGGAGGTGAGACATGGTGGGGGGGGAGGTGAGACATGGTGGGGGGGGAGGTGAGACATGGTGGGGGGGGAGGTGAGACATGGTGGGGGGGGAGGTGAGACATGGTGGGGGGGGAGGTGAGACATGGTGGGGGGGGAGGTGAGACATGGTGGGGGGGGAGGTGAGACATGGTGGGGGGGGAGGTGAGACATGGTGGGGGGGGAGGTGAGACATGGTGGGGGGGGAGGTGAGACATGGTGGGGGGGGAGGTGAGACATGGTGGGGGGGGAGGTGAGACATGGTGGGGGGGGAGGTGAGACATGGTGGGGGGGGAGGTGAGACATGGTGGGGGGGGAGGTGAGACATGGTGGGGGGGGAGGTGAGACATGGTGGGGGGGGAGGTGAGACATGGTGGGGGGGGAGGTGAGACATGGTGGGGGGGGAGGTGAGACATGGTGGGGGGGGAGGTGAGACATGGTGGGGGGGGAGGTGAGACATGGTGGGGGGGGAGGTGAGACATGGTGGGGGGGGAGGTGAGACATGGTGGGGGGGGAGGTGAGACATGGTGGGGGGGGAGGTGAGACATGGTGGGGGGGGAGGTGAGACATGGTGGGGGGGGAGGTGAGACATGGTGGGGGGGGAGGTGAGACATGGTGGGGGGGGAGGTGAGACATGGTGGGGGGGGAGGTGAGACATGGTGGGGGGGGAGGTGAGACATGGTGGGGGGGGAGGTGAGACATGGTGGGGGGGGAGGTGAGACATGGTGGGGGGGGAGGTGAGACATGGTGGGGGGGGAGGTGAGACATGGTGGGGGGGGAGGTGAGACATGGTGGGGGGGGAGGTGAGACATGGTGGGGGGGGAGGTGAGACATGGTGGGGGGGGAGGTGAGACATGGTGGGGGGGGAGGTGAGACATGGTGGGGGGGGAGGTGAGACATGGTGGGGGGGGAGGTGAGACATGGTGGGGGGGGAGGTGAGACATGGTGGGGGGGGAGGTGAGACATGGTGGGGGGGGAGGTGAGACATGGTGATTCAACAGGTATCGCGGAAAATGTACTTGGTGTACACGAGTTCAATGGGCGCTGTCCTTGCCGTCTTGCCAGTGATATTTGTAGCACTCGGCCAGGTTAGTCGACTGAAATAGTATCCACTTGTACAAAAGAGAAATCGCTTTGATAAAAAAAAAAGATATTGACTGTAAAAGTGTAGAAATAAAGATCAAAATTGAAGTCATGTCGGTCGTGGATGTACAGTAAGATATTCAGTCTCTTCTTTCAGGCTAGCATTGCAGGAAGCAACATATGGCTCTCACACTGGTCTAGTTCCAACGCCGGCACTGATCCTACTCTCAATACCACTTCGACTCTCAACGCCATTTATAACTCCAACACTACCTCTGCTCTCAGCAATACCTCAGCCTTCAACACCTCTCCTCTCCCCTACAACACCTCTGTCTTCGGCGCCACTTCTGTAAGCAAAACGGGCGACTACAACACCACCTCTGTTTTCAAGACGAATTCGGACGGTTTAAATATCACCTCCGACGAGTCCAGTGTTTCAAGGGGACTTTTTCTGACACTTTATGGGGCCTTTGGTATTGCTCAAGGTAGGTTCTCTTTATGGGATTTAGGCGTGGTATTGTAATATAATAACGTAGTCTTAAAATATTGTTGCTGTTACTGTTATCTTCATTGTTATATCATTATTGATGTCATTACTGTTTATATATATATGTATATATATATATATATATATATATATATATATATATATATATATATATATATATATATATATATATATATATATATATATATATATATATATATATATATATATATATATATATATATATATATATATATATATATATATATATATATATATATATATATATATATATATATATATATATATATATATATATATATATATATATATATATATATATATATATATATATATATATATATATATATATATATATATATATATATATATATATATATATATATATATATATATATATATATATATATATATATATATATATATATATATATATATATATATATATATATATATATATATATATATATATATATATATATATATATATATATATATATATATATATATATATATATATATATATATATATATATATATATATATATATATATATATATATATATATATATATATATATATATATATATATATATATATATATATATATATATATATATATATATATATATATATATATATATATATATATATATATATATATATATATATATATATATATATATATATATATATATATATATATATATATATATATATATATATATATATATATATATATATATATATATATATATATATATATATATATATATATATATATATATATATATATATATATATATATATATATATATATATATATATATATATATATATATATATATATATATATATATATATATATATATATATATATATATATATATATATATATATATATATATATATATATATATATATATATATATATATATATATATATATATATATATATATATATATATATATATATATATATATATATATATATATATATATATATATATATATATATATATATATATATATATATATATATATATATATATATATATATATATATATATATATATATATATATATATATATATATATATATATATATATATATATATATATATATATATATATATATATATATATATATATATATATATATATATATATATATATATATATATATATATATATATATATATATATATATATATATATATATATATATATATATATATATATATATATATATATATTCGGCTCCTGGACAGCGTCGTGCGTCTGCCCATGAGCTTCTTCGACACCAACCCCAGCGGGAGGATCATCAACAGGTTCAGCAAAGACATCAACGTCCTGGACAACACTTTCCCTGACAATTTGAGGAACTTCGTGGGTTGTTTCATGCAGGTTAGGGCCGAGAGAAATCAGGTTGTTTTTGGGTTGGGGTTTTGGGGTTGTTTGGGGTCAGAAGGAGATTGTCTTAGAAGTATGGGGGTTTAGGTCGGGAATTAGAATTAGAATTAGGTTGTTTCGGTCTGGGAATCGGGTCGTTTTGGATTGGAATATGGTTGTTTGGGTTGATATAGGGTTATTTGGGTGGAAATACGACTATCAGAATGGGCATTAGGTTGTTGGTATTGTATTCGCGTGTATATTAATTTATACCATATTTAGGTGACCATTAATATAAGAAAAGGTTAGTATGAAAATGTAAAAATGTTTGGGTAATTTAGTGAACTCAATAATCGATTTGTGTTTTTTTTTAATGAATGATCTAGTTTAGCATTGTCTTGATTTACACAGGGCTTCCTAAAGAACTGAATACGTGTGTTGCTCATATTTATATGTAAATCTAATCCACATTTCTTTGTCTCTATATCCATACACCTATCTATACAAATATCTATCTCCACTCCATCTACTTACCTACAGAATTGTTCATGCGCATATTTTTACATGCATGGATTTATGTATGAATACACATACACACAAATATAAGCCTCCACAAGTACCCACCCATATTTTCTTGACCTGCAGGTAGTTGCTACTCTGATAGTTATCGTAGCCGCCACCCCCGCCGCCGGCCTCTTCGTTCTGCCTGTGATGCTGCTCTATTACCTCGTCCAGGTCGTCTACATCGCCTCCTCCCGACAGCTGAAGCGCATTGAGTCCGTGTCCAAGTCCCCCATTTATTCCCACTTCGGCGAAACTCTCCAGGGTGGGTGGAGGAGAACTCTGTTGGGTTTGGGGAAATGGAAGAAAGGAGGAGATTAAATACATTCAGGAAGGGAGGCATAATTTTATTTATTGATTTATTTCTATTTATTTATTGTATTTATTGTATTTATTCTGTTTATTTCGTTTATTTATTTGTTTATGTATTTATTTATTTTCATTTTTATTATTATTTATTTATTATTCTTTTTTTTTGGGGGGGGGTTAGGTATGGAGTAAAATCTTCAGGATAGAGAATGTGGATATTTAGAACCCTCTTGGATGTCCATTAACCTTTTCTTAATATATCGATGTCCCCATATTTATCTCCTTTTTATCAACCAATTCTCCCAAACTTAGTTCTCCAACATTTTGAACATAATTAATCAAATAACAATCCAAAATCATGTGCTGATATGAACTGTTTTGTAATGAATAATTTACCTATACTTTAACACGATCAGTCATCTAGCACTTTTACTGCTTTTATTGCATGTTTACATTTTCTTTCTTTCTCTCTGTGCCATATAGTCTCCACCAACCGTGTTCCTATTTTGCTGTTCATATTTCTATCCGTTAAGAACCGATGATTGATTAACAGCCTTTATTTACAGGAGTGACAGTAATCCGAGCCTATAAGAGGCAAGAAGAATTCAACGAAGAATCCCAAAGGAAGATTGAATTTTCTCTAAAAGCTACTTATACGAATGCCGCAGTGAATAGGTAATTTAGAATAAGCAAACATTTTTTAATTATATATATACACATTTTTTTTTTGGATAAACTAATTTGTTGGAGTAAAGAAATAATAATTATGGCAGTCGAACAGAAATGTTCCATATCTATATATTCGAAAACACTACATATAGATTGTAATAAATATACACAACAGAATAAAATAAGATACAAAATTCATATTATCCGGACAAAAACAAAACTCACTCCATGTACCCAGCAAAGCTAACCATAGTTTCCGTGCGGTTTCCTTGCTCCTCAGGTGGGTTTCTGTCATCCTGGAGATGATGGGCAATGCAATCACCTTCGCAGCTGCAATCGTCGGTGTTGCAGGGAGGGGCTACATCAGCTCTGGCATCGTGGGTCTGTCTGTTACCTATGCTATTAGTGTAAGTAGAGGTCTGAGACTGTGAAGGTATTGTGTGATATGGCGATAGGATTATAGATGTGGGAGGAGGCAATGTTGGTGGAATGGGAGAGAAGGAGAGAGACAGAGAAGAGAGACAAAGACAACGAAACAGAGAAGAGAGACAAAGACAACGAAACAGAGAAAGAAACAGACGAATAGAGATAGAGACATACAGAAGAGGGTCAGAAAGAGAAAAAGATATACATAGGTAAAGAGATACACACAGACACAGATATACAGCCCTTCATACCAACGTACAAATTAAAACAGCGGTAGAAATCAGAGAAATGGATATACAAGCTACAAATTACCACCGTCCCCGTTTCAGGTCAACCTCATCCTGAACTGGGTGGTGCGCGTGGCCTCCGAGGTCGAAGCCAACGTCGTCTCCGTGGAAAGGATTAATGAATACCTCGAGGTAAGGTTTGCAAATATATAGGGTCCCTAACCTCTGGAAAAGAGAAAGTGGCAACTCAATGGCAACTGGAGTACTCTGATTCGCCGTTTTGAAGAAAAAAAAAAAAGTGTGAAAGCAAGAAATTTGAATATAAAAGATTATTTAGAATATTATAAATACATTCTGAAATTACAAACACATGTGGACATATGTATTAATTGTCAAATTGTTATAACAGTAAAGAGACTTGGCTAATCGGAGTAATTCAAGGTCTGAGTGAGTTACCCGCTTTTGCTTTCTCGAGATGAAACTGAGTATTGTACCTTTTCTTGAGGGTTTTGTTCGAGTTGGTCACGTACCAGCCGGCATTTCCTTGCCTCTTTCTTTGGAATTTGTTTTGAATTGTAGATCTTGTGTGGAATATTTTTATACTGGTAATTCTCCGATTGATAGTGTAAAATATAATGTCCTAGTTGGTTATATTTCCATGATTATATTTCGTTACTGTTGGCAACGTCTATAACATTTCCATTTCGATTTTTATTCACTTATGTCATATGAATATACATATGTATTTAAAGCTTTATCCTAAATCCTAAGGATTGTAGATTAAATGGGGTCCATCTACACGCAATTTAAACAGCACAGATGTAATCAACATTGATAAACATTCACGTTTATTATATATGTTCTCCCAGCTATTTGTTCCTAATTATCGACGCCTAAGCACCATTAGAAATGAACGTCAGCATTTCTCAACATTCCTCTCCAGAATGAGCGCGAGGCAGACTGGACGGCGGCCGACACGCCTGCCTCGTGGCCCGACGATGGCTGCGTCTCCTTCAGCAACTACCAGACGCGCTACAGGCCCGGCCTCGACCTCGTGCTCAAGGGCATCACGTGCTCCTTCAGACCGGCCGAAAAGGTGAGACAGGATGAACATGAAATTGATAAATCAATACAAATCTGTAGAGTATCAATAAGTAAAAGTGAATGAACATGTGAAAATAAATACACTGATAAATAACTGAATCAAAATACCGAAATAACCAAAACATGAAATGGAGAAATAACTCAAAACAAATAAAACAAGCCAAAGCATAATAAACAAATAACACACAAGAATACATAATAATGACAACGAAAGCAAATAAGAAAAATAAATTGCGCCAAGAGTACTCCGCTTCGCCTTTGTCTTCGCCCGACAGGTGGGCATCGTAGGGCGGACGGGGGCGGGCAAGTCCTCCCTCACTCTGGCGTTGTTCCGGCTGATCGAGGCGTCAGCGGGAGAAATCGCCATCGACAAGGTCAATATCGCTGACGTTGGCCTGCATGACTTGAGGGGTCGAGTCAGCATTATTCCGCAGGTCAGTCGCGGTTGCTACAGCTGCTCTGGGTGTTCTGCTGTGCCCACTATTGCATTATTGATATGTATATTTTTTTTTACATTCACCATGATTATCATCACTATCAATATCTTCAGCATTTAGCATTTCCACCACCAAATCCTTCCTCATTATCACTGACCGTTATCATGAACCCCATCAAAACGACCTTTAAGAAGCACCCCCCCCACCTCCGTCTCCCCCCCACCAGGACCCGGTTCTCTTCAGCGGAACTCTGCGCCTCAACCTAGACCCGCTCGACCGCTGCTCCGACGCCGAGGTGTGGCGCGCGCTCGAACTCGCCCACCTCGCCTCCTACGTTCGCGCCCAGCCCGCGGGCCTCCTGCACCCGGTGGACGAGGAGGGCGCCAACTTCAGGCAAGTGGAGGAGAAAGAGCGGGGAAGTTCAGGAAGGGAAGAGTAGGAAGTTCAGGCGGAGGGAGGCCTTTGGGGAAGAGTCGGGAACTTCAGGCGAGAGGAGGAGAAAGAGTGGGGAACTTTAGGTGAGTGCAGGTCTTTGGGAAAGAGGAGAAACTTCAGGCGGGAGGAGGGGAAAGAGTGGCGAACTTTAGGTGAACGAAGGCCTTTGGGAAAGAGGAGAAACTTCAGGCGGGAGGAGGAGAAAGAGTGCGGAACTTTAGGTGAGTGCAGGTCTTTGGGAAATAGGAGAAACTTCAGGCGAGAGGAGGGGAAAGAGTGGGGAACTTCAGGTGAACGAAGGCCTTTGGAATCAAGAGGAGAACTTCGTGCGAGGGAAGTCCTTGGGGGAAGTGTGGAGATTTGGAGGAAAATTGTTAGGTTCGGATGCCTGCTCTGAGTGCCTGGTGTGATTACCAGTGTGTGGGGTTAAGTTTATTGAATTACTTTTTAGGTAAGTGAAGGACTTAAATCCAAAGTAAATCCAGATAAGATTAGATATAGTATGACTAAAATTATATTAAAATCATCCTGGAAGTTTCTGATGCAGTAAACTTTGGTTCAAATAAAGACCCTAGTAGTTCTTACATGGAGTAAGCAAATCGCTCCATAATTTTATAATTCAGTCACATCATCACGCCATTTTTTTCTGGTAAATTACTGACACTTATTTCGCCATTCTCTGAATTGACTTGAAACCCCGTTACAGCGTCGGCCAGAGGCAGCTGGTGTGCCTCGCCCGCGCCCTCCTGAGGAACTCCCGCATTCTGGTGCTGGACGAGGCCACGGCCGCCATTGACCTGGAGACGGACGACCTGATCCAGGCCACCATCAGGTCGCAGTTCGCGCACTGCACCGTCCTCACCATTGCGCATCGGCTCAACACCATCATGGACAGTGACAGGTGAGTGTGGCTTCATTTTCAGTCTGTAGGAAAGTGGAGATGGTAACGCTCATTATCCGAAAGTTAATTGAATCACTAAATATTAGTGTAACATACACATTCACACGCACGCGCGCGGTCCTTCATTTTAACTATCATGTATAACATTACATTCATTACATTCCGAAACATTTGTGCTGACATTGCGGGTAATTCTTACTATTTATTATTGTTGTCGTCGTTATCATCACCCGTAATTAGTGCTATTATCACAGTAACAGTAATAATAACACTATTTTTTATTAATAGTATTATTCTAATCTAGTGTAGACGCTGTCATTGACAATAGTAACATTATTGCTATTATTATTATTACCGTTATTATTATTATTGTATATATCCTGTTTATTACTTTGATGATTTATATTGGTGCTGATATTTACTTAATAATTATCCTTGTTTTTCTCGTTTCCACATTTATATCATTTATACAAAGATCGGTTTTTTTTATCACTATTATATTTTTTCATTTGTATCATCATACTTGTTACCATCATTATTATCTTTCATATTGCTCAGTGGCATCATTTTCATCATCATTATCACCATCATACCCCTTAATCATCAATTCATCACCATCGTTCTTATCACCATCATCGCGAGTAATTATCATCATTATCATTTTCACAAGTCACCCCCTCACTCCTAATAAAGTAATTACTCGTTTTCTACAGAGTGTTAGTCTTAGACCAGGGAAGCGTTGCGGAATTCGACACTCCTGCGCGTCTCCTGGCTAACACGCACTCCGTTTTCTATGGGATGGCTAAGGACGCGGGACTAGTGTAGAGTTGCTCTTGAAAACTGAATAAATAGTTTGTTAATAATGGT